AAGGACCCGCCCCGCGGCGGGGGGCTGCTCCCCATCTCGGTCGCTGCTGCCAAGGAGACGGTATGTGCGGAGCGCGCGCGCGCGCTGGGCAGACCCGCAGGTGACGCCCGAGAGTAGGGCCGCCAGGTGTTCCACCTGAGTGTGGGGAGGGATCCTGTGACAACCGTGCAGGGTGCGCCTGAGACTGTGGGCCTCCGTGACAGCGGACGTTGGAGGTTGTCACAATGTGAACTCCGCGGCCGCGGATGGGGACCTCCTGTGATCAAGACCGAGACCTTCTAGGCCAGACAGCCGTGGGTCTGTTCACTAGATGTTGGGAAGACATAGATGATGCTGTCATTGATGCAAGAGAACCTTAAAGGTTGCTGCAGCTATCACCTATCAGTGAAAACCCCAAACCGGGACAAAACAAAACAAAAAACCGACTCAGGAGAAGTCAAGGGCATGACAGGCAGAAAGTGGAGGATTGCCTCTGTGCGAGAAAGGAACTACCAGGAGGCTGGGCGAAGCCCCAGTATGTGATCCAGGAGGTGCAGTGCAGTGCAGTGCTCTGAGGTCTGAAAAGTTACTATATTGTTGTATGGAAGTTTATTAGTTCCAAGAGACGAAATGCCAAAACTGTGTAGCCTTCCTATAGGTCGGAAAGAATGAAGATGTCACCAGATTGGAAAAGAAAAAAAAAAACCAGTAAAAAAGTATATCCCATCTACCACATCTACCCCCAAAGCTAGAATCTCTTAAGCAGGGACAGTAAGTAAGTAAGAAGATGGATAGGACAGCAAAAATAGGAAACTGAATGAGGCTAACTCTTCCAGAGAAACTTCAAACGAAAATGTTCAAGTATCATCATGTACTTAATTTAATGTAAAGATGAGTGTAAGGCAAGAGAAATTATAGGGGCACCATGTTTTCGTTGCATCGTTATATTTAATAAAGTTATGTAAATGACTAGGAAAATCTAGGGAAATTTTTCTTGCAAGACTAGAAGAGTGTAAAGGGCTTAGATGACAATAATTTAGAAAAGGGGCAGCTATTCTGTTTTTAACTTTAATGAAGTTTATATAGCCTTTATTCTTTGCCCAAATACACAGTAGCAATCTGATGTAGGTACATCATTTGGTGGAGGCTGTTGATGCATTTAGGTCGGAATTTAGAGACCTAACAGCACATCACAAATTTATAGCATAAAGTACTTCTATACAGTGAATACTTAAAATACTAACAAATACCCTCAACTTTCGTCCCCCTTCACTCCCCCCGCCCCACGCATACATTGAACTTTTAATCATCCATAGTTGATCTGGGAACAGATTAGGAATGTAGGAAACATCCAAATAGTATTTTTTCTTCTTTTTAAAAATTAATTTTACTTTTAAAATTGAGAGACAACATCATGCAGTTTTTAAAAGACCACACAGAAATATCTTGTCTCTGGCTCCACCACCTACTAGTTGTATTATTGCTTAACTTCTCAGTACCTGTTTCTTCATTTGTAAAATGAGGTTGATAGAGTTATGAGAGTTAAGTGAGATAACACATTAAAAAATGGTACCCTTAGCATGTAGGGAGCATTCAACCAATTGGTTTTATTCATTTATTTACTTATGCACCTCTTACTTATTTACTTATATTATTATTGATTGTTGTTTATAAAAATATCTGTACATTGTTTTAGAAGTCAAATAATATTAAATAATATTAAAGTCCTGTCTTACCCTTCCCAAGTCTCCAGTTATACATTCTGATCATAATTCCTTTTGTGTTTGACCTTTTTTCGCCCCTCTGAAAACTTTACAATCTTCTCTTTATCTATGACATTAGAAAATTTCACAGTAATGAACATCAATGTGGGCATTTTTTTTCATTTATTGTGCTAGGTACTTGAGAGCCCTTTCAGTATGTTAGTTCATGTCTGAAAGTCCTACATACTTTTCTTCTATTATTTCTTTAACAGTTTTCTCCATTTTCTCTGTTTTCTTTTTCTGAAACTTCTTAGTCAGACAGATCCTAATCCAATTCTAATCTTTCTTGTATTGAATGTTTTATCTCAGCTATCCTAATTTTTTAATTCAAAGAACTATTCTCTGTTCTCTGATGTTCATGTATTACAGCATTATATTTTGTTTTATGGCTGCTAAATTACTTTTTTTTACAGTAAGGATAGTAATTATAATTTTGTTTTATATTTATAGTTCTCCATGCATTGTGTTGTATCTTCCAGGTTTTCTTTTTTTTTTTTTATGTTTGATTCTCTAAGAGCTCGCTTTCATTTTGGAGGTTTTCCCCACATATCTGTGGTTGTTGCCTATCTATATTTGAGAACCACTCAGAAGCTCTGTGTACATGAGCATGCCTTCTCATTTGGTGTTCTGGGCTTTTCATTAAAGTGGCATCCAAATTTCAATATGTTATAAATCTTTTTCTCTGGTGTCATTGAGCTTCTCCAAAGAATAGGAGAGGTGGGAGGAGCCGTAATCTGGATGTAGGTGCACATGCACATAAGTGTGAGAGAATGTATGTTGGAGGAGTATCCAATGATGTACTATATTATTATCTAATTCTCTGTTTTCTGCCCCACTACTTAATCTGCCTCCACAGCTCCTTGTGCTCCAAGGCCTTATCTTTTCTGGAGTCTGTACCTAAAATTAGCTTATTTCCATTTGGTCTCTTCCTCCACAGTATGCAGGTTGTGCCTCAGTTTCCCTGATCAGTTATCACTCCTTCATCTTTTCAAGTTTATATAAATTTGATGAATTCTCTTGAGTGTTTTGGTCTCCCCTCCTTTTCTCTTTCTTAGTTCTTGTATGTTTATGCCTTTAAAAAATTCCTTTATTCTGATTTTAACGTGGTTTTGGGAGGAAGAGATTGAAAGAAACTTATGAGGTCAATCAGCCATTTTTCAGAAATATTTTAAACCTGTGTTGCCACTTCATCTATTGTGCTTATTTGATTTTCCTAAAGTGATAGAAATGATTCCTTTTGATGTGCAAAACTATAGCTAAGAGCCTTTAACTTATAACGCCCTTTTTATTTAGGAGCATATTATATTGAACATAGCATAGCATATAAATTAACCTGTTCATGTTAAGAGAATGATTTAACTGATGGCAGTGAACAGCAGTAATCTACATTTAGTTCTATTACTATATAGCCTTGAAGATTTTTGTTTTAAAGGCATTACCTCTGAACTTCCTCTAGAAGGCCTTCTCCAACTCCATAGATTTGTTAAAATATCCCTTCTCATTCTGTATTCCCAGATGATGATGTTTTGCAATTGTTTGTTAATTGTCTGCCCTGCTTTTCTTAGCCTTTGAAGGAGAGGCATTGTGTTGGTCTTGATCACCTTTATATCATCATTGCCTGGTATGGGGCCTAACCCTGGTAGATAAGCAATAAATATTTGTTGAATGAGTAAGCCCATACTCAGTATTTGCATGGGGCATACACATTGAAAAGGCACAACCACATTCTGTGAGAATTAATAGTTTAGTATTTTGTTCAGCTAAAGTAGTTATTTATAGCATTAGAATTTGGAAGATTTCAGTCAAGGTCAAAATTCCAGGCTCTGGGAAACTGAATCACATGACACTATTTATTTTAATTGTGTAAGTTTGGCTTGCCAAAATTTTCCAGTTAACATGGCCCTGTTAATATTATGAAGAGATGTTGACAAATTCTTTTTAGAACCTTACGGTTTAGTTTTAAAGCATTATTTTTACCAGTGGAAAAAAATTTTGTTCTATACCTACCTTTTTCTTTCAGGCCCAGAATAAAAAAAAAAAGCATCTGCTAGAGTGCTTAACACACTGAAATCCAATATTTTACTTTTTATACAGAATACATGATCTAGTTTATGATTTGTTCATCTTAAGCTTTAAGTAACTTAGTTTTACTCTCAAGCGGAAAAGAGAACAATATTTGTACATTTCTATAATAATTGCCAGTAATCATACATTTTTAAGTTTCTTTCACTTTATATCTTTCTCAACCTCTCTTTAAGGCAGTACATTTTGAGACATGAGGTTATGCTTATTTTTTCCATAATACTGAAGAATTTGCCAGATGTGTAAATGTAGAAAAATCCTATTTTTTTATAGAGTGAGAGAAATCACATAGATGTGAAATTGAAGAGAGGTTAATTCAGTGTAGAATAATATTGTTGTAAAGAAGCTAAACTAGGAGATCCCTTCTTTTGGTTTTCTGAATCATTCTGTGACAATTAAATTCACCAGATTCTACCCACATCCTTTCTAGTGGCCTGACCATGTTGTAGATTCACATACAACAATTTGAGTTTAGATTGTTTTCTAAGTAAATCACAAAATAAAATGTGAATGAATTTGGAAATAATAGTACTTTCTGGTTGTACAAAACTAGGATTTATAAACATTCATACACCTTTTGTCTGGGTTGCAATAATTGTGGATGTCCTTTTCAGATTCACATAAGGATATCAGGAAATGAAACTGTCATGATCCCGAACTTAAATTAAAAAAAAAACTCTCTGATACTGGTTGCACAACTCTGAATATATTAAAAACTATTGAATTGTATGCTTTAAAAAAAATACTCATTAGTAATTCTCTTCCAAGACTTAGAAATTGTGCAGTAATGCATAGTAATCAGTTTCAATGAAGGTATATACAGTTTTTTTGTTTGTTTGTTTGTTTATATAATCACATTTAAAAAGTAAATAATAAAAACACTGAATTACATTTTGAACCGGAATTTAGGTAATCGTATTTGGTTTTAATGTGACTTGCTAATTGATTCTCACATTCTCACATATAATTTTGAGCTAGACTGTTTATGAGTACTAATTAACGTAAAATGTAGCTGCCCTCATTGATTTAACATATAATTTATCTTTAATAATTTTTGAGAAATGGATGCCATTTTCTACCTAAAGATTAAAGAAGACATTGGAATAGTTAAAACCATTACATTAATCCTAAATTTGTGAAGTTTCTTTGAGGGAGGTTCCATTCATCCTCCTTATAGCACATAAGCCTTGTATCTAATGCAATTTTAATAAATTCTTATTTAATGAGCAAATGAAT